AGAGGTGGCAGCTTCAGTGGGTGCAATGGTGAGTGCAAGGCGTGCATGTATACTCGCTCATATTGAGGCCGAGGCTGTCAGGGGGCTGCCACCAATGTTGCATCGCTTGATCACCTGCGACCCAGCAACCAACCACTGCCTGAGCCTTGCGGCTTCTGGCCTCCGAGAGAAGATGGCAGCATCCATCACACAGGCTTCGCCACCAGGATATAGCTAACTAGTTCGTTCTGAACACGGGCTTTAGGCTGGCGCTCGCATGGGGAAGAAGACCCAGCATGATCCAGTTGAAGGTCTGGGCATCCCCTGCAGAAGGGAAACCTCTCTGTGACCTTTCAATCATTTGGCCGCGTGCAACATAGAGCTTCTGTGATATTGTTGCGATCAGTGTCCGTGTAGGACGCTAGAAGGTAGCTTGAGTCAGTTCTTGGCAATGCGCTTGGTCTATGCTGCCGCCCACTCTAAGTCCTGACGTAGGGCATTTGTTATAAGCAGCCGTTCTAGGGCTCATGGCTCACTAATTAGCTGTGCATGATGGCGGTTTCCAAGATTCTGGCTACCTTTGCAGGCTTAGTGCAGTTAGAAGCATACCCCGGAGCTGTTGACGGCTCGTGCTTGCCTCGGACTCATGCAGCGCCTTTGACAAATTGGGCTTGCAGCTGTACACGAGGTGACATGGAGCATCTCCTCAAAGCCAGGATGGGTCCTGCTCGACCTCACGCTCTCTTGTTCTTCGAGCCGACCGCATAGTCCATGCAGTTGTAGCATTTCTTTTCCAGCCTCATTGCCTCATCCCCCCCTCTCTCTCTCTCTCTCTCTCTCTCTCTCTCTCTCTCTCTGTCTCTCTGTCTGTCTGTCTGTCTGTCTGTCTGTCTGTCTGTCTGTCTGTCTGTCTGTCTGTCTGTCTGTCTGTCTGTCTGTCTCTCTCTCTCTCTCCCTCTCTCCCTCTCTCTCTCTCTCTCTCTCTCTCTCTCTCAATCTCCCTCTCTGTTCACCTATATAAATCCCCAAATTGATGCTCCTGGATGCTAACTTGCACATGCCCGACATGTCCTTGTTTCGGCTCAAAGCTCATGCCGGGCAACGCGGCCTACGCCATCGCCTCAGAGCGTCCTGCAACCGTAGGGTGTGTACCAGTGCGGTAGAGTTTACAGTTTGGGGCTTGAGCCGGTCTTTAGCTGGATAGATAGACAGATCCCCAATCTTGAACCCTGCCAGCCTTTGGGCTCCAGGCTCAACTAACGCTTTCAAGCAGCACATGCAGATGCCTCTTGACACTGGAGATCGCATGACACATCAGAGCGATTTGTTGGAAGAGTCAGCCCTCCACCTGAGCTGCTAATGCAAGCGCTGGTCAACACGTTGGGGTTCCCCTGGCGCTTGTATGCGCTATGCGATGGTGCGGGCTCAGATTCAGATTAGATACAGGGTCGTCCGGTGTGTTCCATGGCATCCACTTTCCGCCTGCGTCGTGGCGCGCTTGCAACATGCGCTGCGGCAAGCTCCTGAGTTTTTTGGGAATCGGTGTGCGGCGTGAGGTGTTCCGGTCTGACTATTTAGTCAAGAAGAACTGGGGGGGAGGGGGTGGCAGAAACGGAAAGGCTTTGATTCAATGACTGTCGAGTCTCATAAGTGAAGCTAAGGGCAGTCCATGAATCAAGAATTGTGCTGGAGCTGTGAACGTATTCGCGGAGATTCTACCCGGTGATAGCTTTTTGTGGGTGTTTGCAGCTTTGCTCGATTATCGATTCCCATCCTTTGCTGATGTTGTTATTCAGCATGCACCTGGCGCCTGCCGAGACTCTCGCAGGTGCCATTTCTCTGGGATATGTATCCCTGCGAGGAAACAACCAAGAACGGAACAGAGGACTCGCATTGTTGACTTGAGTAGAATTCCGACACCAAAAGATAAAGAGGTAGTCCCTGGTGAAGAGAGGTAGGTAGCTGGAAAAAGGGAGAGCGCGGGAGACAGAGAGAAAAAGAGAGAACAATAATAAAGGAAAGGAACAGCGAGACAAGCAGACACATCAGCTCAGACACAACAACCGATAGCCACTCAAGCCCTGGCCCAGTCGGCCTCGTGCCTTGCCCGCGAACCCTGAGCAGGTCGGGAAAAGGCCCTTGTTTTCCTGGTTACTATGCCCACAAGTCCCCCCACAACGAAAACCAGCGAAGCCGCACTGACATCAGCGCAGCAAGGCCCTGGTTGCCGTCCGTACTTCGCGAAATGCTGAGGCGAGGGGAATGACATGCAAGTGGTGGTCCGAAAGTGTAAGGTTCTGCAGATGCTTGCCTCCGGCGTTGCAGGGGTTCATGACCTTGCATGCCTCATGTCAGTAAACCCAGTCAAAACTACCAGTCCTCTCCAATTCCCCCGAGATACTCATTCCCACCGAGACTGCACTGTGTACGTAAGCCCCTGCAGTGCTGTAGAACTCTGCGCCGGCGCCAGGGCTTCGTGCCTCGACACAGAGCAAGTTCCATCCGGGTGCGCCAGGGATGAACATGACACGCTTGCCTGGCCTTCTATCTCAAGCTCGTCATAGAGGGTCTCTAAAGTTTGCTGTTGCAGCTGCAGAGATTGGTTTCCATCTTCATGATGTCGGGTCTCCGGCTCTGGACTTTGCTTCTCGACTATCTCCGGCATCTGACACTTGCGTTGCATATGTTCTTGCTGCACAAGAAGAGCATAGTCGCCGGTCATCAACCTATGGAACTGTCACAGCTTGTTGCTGAATTGACCCGTATGCACAACACCCAGAACTTATGAAGCATCTGCCAGATCCGGCACAGCTCACGAGACAGTGTCTGAGTGCATCATTGCAAGAACTATCGAAAACTCCAGTCAACACAGGAGCCTTCTTGTAGAGCTTACCGATGAGTTACAAGCGGCAAGACTCCCACTACCTGGTCACAGGTTCACGGCTTTGTCGCGTGTGCTGGGCGGACAGACCACAGCGCATACCAAGCTAAGGCCAAGCAGTGGTTTCCTGCCACTTTTGTGCTCGCAGCAAGCAGGCATGTTCGTGGCAAATGCATGTTGGGTCCAGCATCACGATGCATGCAGGGGCTTGTGTGTTCAGTAGTCAGTAGACTCTAGCGATGTCGAGTACCGTGTCAAAAACGGCTGTTGAGTCATGCGCAGGCTGATGCACGATCATCAGCGGCTTTATCTCTTGAGAACCTTCTGACCGTGCCAACACCGGCAGCAGCAAGGATCGCTAAAAGGAGCAGTAGGAGCAGTCGTAGCTGTAGTAGGTAGTAGCAGGAGTAGGAGTAGGACAGGAGTAGGAGAAGGAGTTGGAGTTGGAGTTGGAGTGGTAGTGGTAGTGGTAGTAGTAGTAGTAGTAGTAGTAGTAGTAGTAGTAGTAGTAGTAGTAGTAGTAGTAGTAGTAGTAGTAGCAGGAGTAGTAGTAGTAGTAGTAGTAGTAGTAGTAGTAGTAGTAGTAGTAGTAGTAGCAGTAGCAGTAGTAGTATAGTAGTAGCAGCAGTAGCAGTAGTAGCAGTAGTAGCAGTAGTAGCAGCAGTAGCAGTAGTAGCAGTAGTAGCAGTAGTAGTCGTCGTCGTAGTAGTAGTAGTAGCAGTCGTAGTCGTAACTAGTACAGCCGTAGCTTGTCAGATTTTCGACGAGAAGAGCAGCTTCTTCGCATCTCAGAAGGCCACACCACCAGAGGTGCCAAGCACTGCAAGTGCATCACACATCGGCTTGAGTACTTCAGGCTTTGAAATATGATGTCGGCGAGCATGGGCGCTTGCAGCCGCGCTAGCTTGAGGTCGTAGTTGAGAATCTATGCAACCATGAACTGTTTTCGGCAAGGAACTGCATTCGCAGCAGCACTAGAACAGGGTTCTCTCGTTGACGTGTGTATCGATATCTGGCCTGTGATCGCTGCGTGATCTTGCCTTCATCAAAGGTGGTTCCCCGGCTGCTGCGAATTGCCGACAGCTGCCGATTGTCTCCAGGGTGGGGTCATGCCCAATCATTGATCCCCTCGTGACATGCTCAGCCAACAGTAGACGGATGTGTCCAGACTTGTGCAAAGCCACAGATCGGAGGCAGCACAGGGACCTTGCTACTGCCGCCACAAAATGCTCTACCATGATAAACTAATGAATCGTCTCGTTTACCGCCTACTTGCGACAGTTATAGTGCTGGTGCTAGGACACAAAGAACGAAAGTTCCGAACTGCTGGGCAACATGATAAAGGTTATATACAACAGAGTAATTACGTTCGATGGGTGGTACATGTCTAGCCTAGGCCGATGGAGAAAGACTGCAGGCATTGCTGCATGCTACTACCATGACTACCACGACCACCACCATCACTACCGGAAAAGACTCGTCCAGCAGCGGGATAGTCGTAGCGCAGGCAACAGTTTAGCTTAAATGAATCGAGTTTCTTGCAGGTCAACGATTCTTGACGTTGGGACTGGCACAGGCCTTCCTGTTCGCAGAACACCGACGCAGAAGTTTCTGCTACAAAGTCATGTTTCACTGTGAGTGCCGCTGCTCCAAGCTTTCAAGAGAACGGCGCGGTATCTCCAAAAGCAGTTCTCCAAGAGATGCATCGAGTATAGACAGCGGTGTTTGCTTTGACATCCATCTTGGTGCGCAGGTGCTCTCTTGCCTTTCTTTGAAGCAGCTGGTGGGTCCTTGGAGGCTGCCGTCTCCAGGTCATGTGCAGTGTTAGACGATTGAACCTTAAACCCTAAACCCGTTCCTTTGGAGATCCCTATTATGGTATATAACTTAAACTACCCTCGAGCTATCATCAGTCGAGGCAACACTTTGGATTTCGCTGTGTAAACCGCGGCTTTATGCTGATGTCTGCTTTGTACTTATTGGATTGGGGGAGTTTGCGTGGGACAAAGAGTGTGCAAGTGCGTGGTCATTTCACTCCAGTGGACCAGTTCAAACTCTCTTATGACAGCTGGGAGAATCTGAGACATTCACTGCGGGCCTGCTTCTCCAGGCATTGACGGGTGTGGACCTTTCGTCAGGGATGCTTGCGTACGCACGAGAACGTCTGCTACTCAGTGAACATGTCATTACATGAAATTACATGCCGGTGGCGGTGGACTCCATGATTGATGCGGGTTGTCACCATGCTGTAACCCCACTGGCTTTCTGCAGACTTCACAGGCTTTCCACAGGCGACCTTCGTGAAGGAGGACAGGGTTCAAGCATATGCTCTCGACGCTTCTATTCAGTCGTTCATGCTGCAAGCGACATGGCCCAATGCATAACCAGAAGTCAGAAGTGTCATCAGAGCGTCGCTTCCAGGATGTGGCGGAATATTTGGGCCCAGATGGTCGTCGCTACGATCGCGTGGATGCTGGATTTGCAAGCAGATCTGACTGGTTCATGTCGAATGGCAACAGTAGATACACTCACATGTACTGCCAGAACTTCATGCCTGTGACTTTCCAGTGATCGCAAAGGTGTTCAATGCCTGCTTCGGCAACCTGTTCGACCCACTGGCGGTGCTCCGGCACGTAAGTCGCAATTTGCTTGCAGACGGCGGTCTCATAGCGCAGAACTCAGAGTGCGGGTGCCTGGGGATCGGTGGGCAGTCATTCTCGAAGCAGGACATGTAGCATCATATAACCAGCAGAGCCACAAAGCATTGTTCCAAATGGGAGTGTACCCCGGACTGAAGTAGCCGGCTCGAATCGAGACATGCTCAGTCACCGAACATATCGACTCCTGAGCCCAAACGGTAGCGCCTTGGTAAAGCTGAGAAGCTTCACGGCAATTCCAAGGTGATCAGCCACCCTTTGGGGAGAGACTGGCTGCGTGGATTGCAGAAGCGGGATCCCCAAATGGCACGGCGCCCAGTAGCCCAAAACACAGAACCCAAGCCCACCTCCTTTGCTTACTGGCAGACCCGCAGAGTTCATCGCCTCCAAAGCAACAAACAATAGAGGCAACGCCACCACGCCAGGGTTGCTCAGCAATTGATTGTTCACCTTCTTACACTCTGGATGTGTTCCGCTCAGGTTTGTTTAGGAGGCGCTTATTCTGTAAAGGGTTTGGCGCCTGTGAAGCTCCGCCGGCAAGCTTGCCAACCACAGCGAGACCTCAAAGAGCTTGGCCAAAGTTCCAGAGCCAACCTTCGCAAGACTCTGCGAAGGACCCAGTGCGAAACGATCCGTGGTGCCGTGCCGTGCCGCAGGTGTTGCATGACCTTCCCGGACACGCGGAAGTGGATCAGATGCTAAAGGAGGCCGGCCAGTAAGAACGGAAGGTGGAGAGGGGAGAGAGAGAGAGAGAGAGAGAGAGAGAGAGAGAGAGAGAGCGAGACAGAATCTTCCAGCAAATGCAAAGCTGCTATATGAGTATTTCTATGGCATATGAGCCTGGTCTGTGCTTGCGCTCGACTCCCGCAACGTCTTCGGGTGCATGCCAATCGCACACGCAATCACGATACACCTTCTGCGCATACTTAGTAGGCGAAGCAGAACGTCTTCCTGCACGTTTTACATCAGACGGTATGCTTGCATGGGATGTAATGCGATACATCATGATTAGGTTGTATAAGGTTATGTAGAAGATGTGACACAAGTTATACAATATAGCGAAAGTACACATATACGTATGGACATATCACGTTATGATCCTACCAGGTCCCGGAGCTCAGTGTAGAGCTTCTGGAAGATGAGACGGACTACTACTGTCTCGTGCTGAGGCGCCAGGCATAGAATGCATGACTTTGGTCTCTTAGGTCTCTAGTTTCATAAGCTTCAATGTCCCCTGCTTCGTGGATTTTCCATCGGCAGAAAGTTTAGAGAGACTTAGCACAGCCAATGAGCTTTCAAGCCGGAGCAAAGCCTCTGACACTTGTCAGCAGTTGGGATCTTTCTGGAGGTCGAAAAAGCGAGTGCCCGCATGCATGCGCGATGTCCATCGCATGGCACAAATCCAGGGCTGCTTGCCACATCCGTCCTATTGCACACCGCTTGCAACCAAAGCGCTTCGGTTTGCAGATTACCACCATAAGTGAGGATCGCATACTTGTTCAGGGCCGTATTCGCCGTATTCCCATCCCGAGCATCTTCCCAAACTCGAAAGAAGGAGCCCTATTCTACTGTGAGGTGGTCTCCTGAATTCAGAGAGGATATGGGTCCCTTATTCAGCGGTCCTTATAACAAGATTATGGCTTGTTCTTTGACGCTCCGGTTTCCAAAACCTTCATATCTACGCTGAGGTGGCCACTGTGCTCGCGCCTGGCTTCCGGCATCCGCCTCACAGTTGGTTGGGTCTTCTACAATCGTTGGAAATGTAATGGAACATGAATACGTATAGATACATATGTGCGTGTATATATATATATATATATATCTGTATATGTATCTGTATATGTATAGGTATGTGTAATATATATGTATGTATACGAGTGTATATATAAAGAGACACATGCACAAATGGATGCCGTCCATGATGCAAATGTATGTACATGTTTCTCTGTCACACACTCACACTGTCAGTCTGATACGTGCGCGTGTGTATACATATATATATATATATATGGTAACCCCCCCCGTTGACAGACCATGCCCTTTCAACTCAGTCGTAGTGCATGGTCTGTGATCGGGGGGAGGGGGCACTCAGATTTCAAAAACTCAATTCCAAAATTTCCAAAATTCTCTCCCCTAGCTTTACGGATTTCCAAAATTTCCAAAATTTCCGAAATTTCCGAAATTTCCAAAAAGTCCGCCCTTATGTTTTGGAAAAATCCTGTCGACTATAGGTCGGGCCGTTTTGGAAATTTTGGAAATTTCGGAAATTTTGGAAATCCGGAAAGTTAGGGGAGAGAATTTTGGAAATTTCTGAAATTCTGGAAATTTTGGAAATTTCGGAAATTTCGGAAACTTCGGAAAAATTGAAAATTTTGGAATTGATTTTCAATGGGCTGATTGTGACCCATCGGATGACAGACCATGCACTACGAGTCACTTGCAAAGGCAAGTTTAGACGACTGTCAGTGTTTATATATATATATATTTATAAAATGGCACTCCTACGAATACTATTACCAATGCTAATACTGACATTGATCATTTGCTGACTGCCCAAGCTAATACCAGCATTAACGCTAATATTTACACTTTTTTAAGCCAATACGAATAGGCACCATACAAATACTAATAATGATTAATACTGACGTTCATACTCCTACGCATATCAATAATTATGCCCATATTGGTAGTAGTGTATTTTCATACCAATACTAATACACACCTGCATATACCAATGTACATAAATATACATACCACTATATTAAAGTACAAATACATTAGCTCATGCATGTATTTATCTGTTAGTATTTTCATGTAATCAGGAGTAATACTAATATAAGACAAACGTTCATGTAAATACATAACCTCATTTTAATATTAGCACTAGCACTAGCACTATTACTAATGCCAATCACACTGTTTATACTAACACCAAGATTTACATAAGTATTGATACTCCTACGGATACTACTGCGTATACTCTTATGCTGTTAACAGTAATGCTGTCACCAATACTAATACTGACATTGATAACTTGTTGAATATTCAAGATAATGCCAGTATTAATACCATTATTAACACTTATACTAAGGCTAATGCGACTACGGATAATCCTAATACGAATATTAACATTAATACTCCTACGAATACCAATAGTCATATTCATATTGATGTGAAGACTAATACCATTACAAAAGACACCATTACAAAAGACACGTGTATATGCTAATGCACACCAGAACACATACCATTATCATTTTTGCCGATATGTATCAACGCATTCATGTACTGATGTTTTAGGACAAGCATATACCCATATACCAATGTAACAATACACTACTTGTTAATGTGTGAATATACTATACTAGTATGCTATTATACTAGTATGCTACTATACTAGTATACGACTACTGTAATATGCAAGTATACCGACATGGCAGGTTAGTGTACTAATATGACAACATACTGATATACTTATAAATCTTTGGACGATACACGTATATTGCATATACTAGTATACTAGTACACTAATGTACGAATATACTGGTATGTTAATATACTAATATATTAATACAGCAACCCACTAGTTTACTCATGCATCAGTTGAACTAAAGTATTAAATCTACGAATATGCAAGTATACAAATATGTTGCCTCTCGAACACATCAATGTATTGATATACTAACCTGCTGATATACGAAACTATCAGAATAGTAACATATCGAAACTAACTCTAATCTTGATACCAATACTAGCACCTCTGCCATTATTAACTGATATTAAACCCAACATGAAGACTGATACTAATACTATACTATTACTGGCATTGACACTGGCACTAACACTAAGACTAAAACGACGATGATCACTAAAATTAATGTATACTTACTACTGTCGATATATACATATATATATATATATACGTACAGTAAACACTAATACTATTGCTGATACTAATACTAATACCAATATTAATACTCATGTTCATCCTATATCAATGCTACCACAAAACTCATAACTCACGTGTCGCGCGTCTGGTCCATGCGTCCTCAGTACATGGCATGTTAAAAGTATACTTGGTATATGTACTGTAAAGGATTTGCTTTACAGATTGTCGTCATGTGCGGTGTGTTTAGATACAATATCTCAGCCTAGTCACCGAACGAGAGTACACTATCACAAGGGCATGGTCTGTCAACCGGGGGGGGGGGGGGGAGCATATATATATATATATATATATTCCTTATGCAAGCTGCTTATGACTTTTCATGTACGGGTTATGTCGTCATCCATGCCCGGCCACTGTGCTCGCGCCTGGCTTCCGGCATCCGCCTCACAGTTGGTTGGGTCTTCTACAGTCGCTGGAAATGTAATGGAACATGAATACGTATAGATACATATGTGCGTGTATATATATATATATATCTGTATATGTATCTGTATATGTATAGGTATGTGTAATATATATGTATGTATACGTGTGTATATATAAAGAGACACATGCACAAATGGATGCCGTCCACGATGCAAATGTATGTATATGTTTCTCTGTCACACACCCACTCTGTCAGTCTGATACGTGCTCGTGTGTATACATATATATATATATATATATATATATTCCTTATGCAAGCTGCTTATGACTTTTCATGTAATTACGGGTTATGTCGTCATCCATGTCTGTTGATGCGTGTACGCAGGGTTTTTTTCTGATATAGTTTCCTGTTAGATACTGGCTTAGTTTCATGCATGCATGCCTGTCTGTACGTATGGATTTATGTATGCACTGATGTATATATGTGTATACATGCATGTACATATGTATATGTGTGTATGTGTGCGTATACATACTGGAGATCTCGTAAACTGATACATATATATATTTATATACATATACACGTATGCGTACGCGGGTGTAACATGACCATGCCATACACGGTACGAAAAGCACGAGTGTTGGAAAGGCACACAATGAATACGAGATGTAGCTGGCATTGCTGTTGTTGTTGTCGGTGCTGGTGCCAGTGCGGATGGTGTTGTTGGTGTTGCTCTTGGTGTTGTTGTTGCTGCTCCTGATGATGTTGAAGGTTCTGATGAAGCTGACGATGAGTTTGCTGGTGGCGAAAGGTGATGGCGGCGATGGTGGTAATGATGATGATGGTGGTGGCGCTGACGAAGTTGACGACGATGAAGAAGATGATGAAGATGGCGACCTGAAGCAAAGATGATTATGAAGAGAAAGCGGTGATGACGATGTTCATGGCGACGATGAAGAATATGGCGATGATCATTATGATAGTGGTGATGGTGTTTGCAATGATAATCGTGTTGGTGATGGTGATACTGGCGATGATGAGCAAGAGAACGATAAAATGATGACGATGTTGATGATGGCCATGGTGGTGATGGTGATGCTGATCATGATGATGTTGTCGCTGTTGCTGCTGCTGTTGCTGTCGCTGTCGCGCTGCTGGCGTTATCGTCTCTGTCGTTGCTCCTGCTGCTGTTGTTGCTGCTCTTGCTGCACTCTGTGTTTGTGTGCATCGTGCCAGCGCGTGTCTTTGGCTTGTTCATGCCTGCAGCTGCCTCGGCCGATTTTGCAAAGACTTGGGATCGCCGCAGCAAGCAGGTACTGAAATACTACACGTGGTGTCGCAAGCGTCTTCAGGCCATCAAGATCGGACCGACATGTACGCCGTGGTTTACCAGGGCAATCTGTAGCGGAAAGTATGGCAGTGCCGAGGGTGCTTATCGTGGTATGTGTTGCTGTCCTTTTACCTTGACAGTCTCCTGCGACCGAAGAGCTGTGGCTGAAATCTTCTTTCATGGAAGGCGGTGACTCCCTTCGCCTGGACATGGAGACCGAGCCGAAGTCACACCAGCATGTTGCAAGGGCAAGTTGAAAAGACGCGGCAGCTCGAAGCTCAAGGGCTCAACTGCTGCCGTCTATTGCCGTCTGCAGGCACGTTGTGCCCTCGGGCATGGATACAATCATGTGCGTTGCAATTATCACCGTTGCAGCCTGAGCTGAATGCACAGAGCAGTAGGCCAGGGAATGACGCATTTGCAGCATCAGCTGAAAGTCGTAGGAGCGGGAAAGAGCTAGCTGCTAATAACCACCAGGCGGGTGAACCTAGCACACTCCTGCATGCTGTGCAATCTGAGGCAGGGTTGGTTGCATTCCTGTGTTCGGGTCACGCTGGCGTGATTCTAGTCTTGACGATCTTCATTTGCATAGCCGCGACCTCAGCTTATTCGCAGCATGATAGCCAACAAGAGTGGTTCAGAGCCACTGCGGTGTTGAAACCCCAGTCCCAGACACAAGAACCCATCTGAGATGGCGGGCTGTGTGCACGCGGTGTGTAAGTCTCCACTACCCGCAGCTCTCACAAACATTGCGCTGTCTAGTATGGTGCTCCCTTCAGCCCTATGCCGATACCTGCATCTGTTGCTGGTAAGAAGTGAACGCCCCTGATACTGCGTCCCAGTGGCTCCTCTGCGACCTGATGAAGATCTATCAGTATTACTGGCTGGGCAAGGATGCGGAGAGACTGTTGAGGGGGATTGCCTTTCGAGGGCTGCTGGCTCCTTTGGAAATCGGAACTTCTGAGCTTCCTAAAGCCGCTCCTGCAGCCCTGAAGTACGCCTTATAGCACCCTTATATTATCCTTATAGTAACCATATAGTACCCTTAGCTTATCCTTATTATAGCAACCTTATAGTACCCTGAAAGTACCCTTACCTCTTTGTAGGATCGAAGCCCCGGTGTCAGGGCATGCTAGATGTGAGACCGGCCCCGATCTTCAGCATCGACAGACCCTGACTACTATGGGGGCCTAGATAACTACCTACACTATTCTGGGGGTTCCTCATTATATATATATATATATATATATATATATACATATACTGTCTAACTATAGTATGACTATGGTATCATCCATGGGCCCCACAACCCTATTCTAATGATTGAGGCCCCTATAGTACACCACAGGACCCCGAAGTGGTGATCTCCTCGGGTCAGATGCCCATGCGCCCGACTCCCAAGCACTGTCGGGCAGAGGGCAGCGCAAGCTCAGTTTCGAAATGAGGATAGCAGCTCAAGCTCAAGATTTGGGGTTCGTGACTGACATTCAATGGTTGGATTTGGATTTGTGGGGGAAGAAAGAAGCACTTCGGCTCATTTGTCGAGGCAGTGCCTAGTAGCTGAGTTGTTGTGCAGCCCAAGCTCACCTGAGAAAACCTCCTGCTTCGGGTCGTTTGTCCTTTTCCAGCATTCGCCGTCCGCATCATTCCTTGACACTAAAACTACATTGACATATCATGAGCCCCACCTGCAGCCAGAGGGTCTGTGAAGTGAAGCTATGCAAGTGGAGATGTGCACACGTCTCTGAAGCAGTAGGTCAAATCTTCACATGCCTGCCACTGAAGCCGAGACCCTGCACCCTGATGTCCCAATAGTCTAAGCGCCCAGCAGGACAAAGGCCTGACACAAGAGCCCCTGCAGGCTAGTCTCTGAGATTCCAAAGGTTTCAAAGCCGAAATCCATCAATCTGAAACCGCAGCGACCGATCCGCAGAATTTGATCCTCAGCCGTAGTCGAATCAATTGTCACTCCCTGACCACGGCTGGCCGGTGGCTCAAAGTCTTCTTGGTTATGCGTATAAAGATGTATGGTGACACTTTACTGGGTTTCAATGCTGTATACGCGCATAAGTTGGGATAGGTGTGTCGGTATGCATGTAGGTATGGATGCAGGCATGCATGTGTATGTGTGTGTATGCGTATGTATGTATGTATGTATGTATGTATGTACGCATGCACGCGTGCATGCCTGCATGCATGTGTGTGTGTGTGTGTGCGTGTGTGTGTGTGTGTGTGTGCGCGCGTGCGTGTGTGCGTGTGTGCGTGCACATGTGAATAAAACGACGCATGCTCCCATCTGACTCTTGCACTAGCTACTGCAGAGACGTCTCATCTTATGCCATGTTGCTACTACGGGTAACCCGGGTATGCAACATACATTGTCATGCAGGGTAGCAGGTGGCATCGTTTTGGGGGGGTTGGCCTTTGGAGTGCTTTTCAGGTTCTAAACGGACTTCAGGCTTCAGAGCCAAGTCCAAGTCTTCAACTGTTCTTGGCGGAGACAGCTTCTGGCTTCCTTTCCTGTTCGTGTGAGTACTCGTCCAGGAGGTAAAGCCACAAGAAACCTCCTGAGGGAGTCTATACATGCCTGCCGGCTACATGCCTGACAGCAAGGTCCTAGACAGCATGTCGGAAATGTCGGTTGACTTGGAGCGCTTTCGCAACAAATGCTGCTGCTCGGCATATGCCAGTTTCGGACCTGCCGGTTGCTGCAAGGAGCCGGCAGTTTGTGGTAACGAAGTTGCACCCTCCACTTCGCATGCTGCTGGTCTGAAAGCTCTAGCAGGCCTGGCTTGCCCCGCTCTGCAGACCGGGTGCTGAGGCAATCTTTCCTTGCCATCAAGTCTGCGGGATGCGCGGAACTTGATAAGCCTCTTGGAATCAGACTTGGCATTTTTTGACAAGCGTCGGCCCCACGGCAAGCCCGTTTCTGGCTGAGGTTTGCAGAAGAAAATCCTTGACTGCGTCACAAGTCTCTACAGGTGCCGTCTCCCAGCTTCTGGCCCGTGCATGTGACAGTTCGCACACTTCGAAGGGTGCTTCCGAAGAGTCAGGTGCCTTTGAGTTCGTTGCTTCTGGGGTATAAGGCCCAAGCTATCTACAAGAAGCAACGAACTCGCAAGAACATTCAAGTACCTGCCATCTCTGCCAGGAGCGAAACGAAGCCGTACCTGGGCGAGGCCTGGCTTCCCTCTTGAACGTTTGGAGTTGGCTGCCTGTGCCCTAGGTTCGGTCTCCTTAGCTCACAGCTTTTGTGTCTCAGTGTCCAGCCTTCTGGGTGAAATTATCCTGGATTCAATTCGATGCGTGTGGTCTTTCTTTTTCACGTTCCGGCATGGAGGTTTGCGTGCGGCTATTGCAATCTCTGCTGTGGCTCCGCATCAAGCATCTTGCACCCCATGATTGAAGGTGCAAAAACTGCTGCGCGTGGCAGCGACAACAAAGACAGACAAAGATGAGGCTCGCTATGTTGCAGCCGCCGCTAAGCTGGTACATCCTGAGTTTTGTGCCCAAGGCTTCAGAGAGTTTTGGCTGCGTATTCTTGCAAGCTCAAGTGGTTTCAATGTACGAGGCATGACTTACTGCGATCCGCTTTACAGATGGCATGCGATGTGAATTTGCCTCATGAGAACGGGATAATTGCAAGTGCGCCAAGGTTTGTGCCTTGAAGCCTGAGCTCTTCCTGTTGGTTCCACCATTTTGTGGCAACCCTCCATGCATCCTACTTCGTGATCCACCAACAGGCGCAGTTGCAAACGAATGCCTGCAGGGTCCTGCCGTGGTGATGGCTTCCGCATGATGCCCTAGAGCCCGGACTGTCCTTTGCTGCACAGCGCTGCCTTTGCTTGAGCCCACGAAGCTGAGCTCGGCAAGTCTGAACTCGGACCCCAACCCAGAACCCGAGGCACGAAGCAATTGAACGTGCTCCCTGGAAGGCTTCGAGTTGTGGTACGAGAAGTTGCCTCAGCGCTGCTCTCAAACGCCCGAAGAGGAAGCCATGAGGCAAGCCTCGATTACATAGTTATACATGGTTGGAAATGGCATCTCTAGGCAGATTGTAAGCGTAAAGTCCATCACGAGAATCTGCTTGTGATTCGACAGGCTGTATTTTGGGGCTTGTAGACATCACTGTTCTGACGACTTCGAAATTTGATGAATGCCATAAGGCGATGCCTCCGGTATTCTCGCTACCTCCCGAACTCATGTTGATCGGCTATGGTCAGGAAACCTAATTAGCTTACTCCTGATTACCCCTGTCCCAGTGTTCCTACAAGGCCAATCTTGCTATTTGTTGCCACAGTGTTCGCTGTTGTGCTTCTGGAAAGCATGTTTTTTTGTCGTTTTGATGTTGTCTTTGAACGATTTGGGATGAGCTTCCGAGTCCAGGAACCTGCGGGAATCAATTTCGGCTGGTCGGCTTTCCACGATGCGGAAGGCCGTTTCGGCCCTTCATAATCAGAGGTGAAAGTTAGAAGATACAGCAAAGTATGGTGAGGTATGGTAATTATGGCGATACTTGCGGGGTCCAGTTCGAGTCATGCCGCAGAGGAAACTGGTTGCTTGTGCCCTTTTATTTACCGGCCTCTTTGTTTCAGTAGGAGGTTGTGTGATCCTTCGGGGGTGTTCAAGGTGTTGGGATCTTGTGGTCACGGTCCTCGATCCATGAAACCTGCATGGTTTCTCTCACTATGGTACCTCTCTGTCGCCTGCGCTCCCGAAGCTTCGAGGTACTTAACGAATGTACTTCCCTGTATAGGTCAGAACATTCGGATCGGAACAGCCAAACCCGATAGAGAAGCTCAATGGGTCGCCGACGATCCAGAAGCTCCGGGGTTCTGACAACTCACACATGGGTGGTTGTCAATATTAGGGTCCCTTTTTGGGTACCCTGAACATAAATTAGGTGCCGTATTAAAATGAGGACCCAAAAAGGGACCCTAATATTGACAACCACCCACATCGTTGACTCGAGCCATGCATGCCAAAGAGATTGTGACTAACCCGCAGGTGATCGACGAACTATACGCAGACAGGATCGAGCCGACTCTCAACGAGGCGGAACCCGTGCCGTCCAGCAACACCTGCACCACATTCTGCACTCTACTGTAGCTTTTAGCCGTTACAGAGCCTGCACCCCGAACACGTGACCACGCTTCCACGAGGCTCATCCCGACAAGGATCATTCCCGGCGAAACCCGACTTTCTGCACCCGGAAAGTTGGTATTGCGGGCTTCAAACTTTGCCGGGTCCGAACAGCAGCTCAGAGACAGGAGCAAAAGACATCAAAGTCCTTCTCCCCTCGCTTTCCTCGCTAGATCCTGAAGTCCTCAACCCTTTTGCTCGCAAAGCTCCAATTGCTCTTTCCAGAACGCTCAGCCTATGCCCGGCTGGAGTGCAGGGCCCAATCGGCGGAACTGGCCATGAGAGCTGTGGACCTGCCGAGACCTTTGCTTTCCTGAAGCACTAGACCAGCCCCTCCAGCCATCACTGCATCTCAACAACCCCCCGAACCCCGAGAGGTCCAGGAGCGGCTGCGCGACCGTGGATGGAGCTACTCCGATGCGCAGCAAGCCGTCCTCCTCTATGAGCCTTCGACACGAAAGCTGTGAGTTGAGCTGGGCTTCGGTTCCTGCACTGTTGCACACATACCAGCGGGGGTTCAGAGTGACTCTGGCAATGGGCTGCAAAGCATGGTTCGGCTCCCATGGCATGGACATTCATGACCAGACACAGACCCAGCAAGCAAGCTGCATGGTTGTGCGATTTCGTTGAAGCTCTCTGCTAGCTAAGGCATGTCAGAAGGACACTTACGACCTGACAAAGCCCACGCAAAACAAACAGATCGTTGTGCTCTTGAAGGACATCAGAGTCTTATGTGGCCAAAGCTGCATCTGTCAGTCGATTCATTGCGCACACACACTCCCTCTCTCTCTCTCTGCAGTTGTCCGAATTGGGGGTGTGCCCAGTTGCAGTAGGCAAACTGGATTTGACACACTCGATCGCACTGCCGCTGAATCAGCAGCACTTAGCCGATGCATGTACTGCCCGAGTAAGAATCTTTAGTGCTTGCTTTGGGTGGTGCTTTGTCCATCGTGCATGTTTCGTCACGGCCTTCTGACTTTTGGTCGGCGTTTACATACATTACTTGCTGCTATTCATTTCCTTGCCCCCGGCATCATATGTCAGCAACTTCCTGCAGCTTGTAGCAGCCGTGGTGTTGCCAGAATACTGCTTCATATTGTATGATAAATAAAGCATTATCATTATTACAAGTATCATTCTTATTTATTACCGCCATTGCTATTACTACCATACTTAGTATGCAATTCCAGACTTTCAACGTTTTTCACCATCCACAGGAGCCACCTCGAAGCTTCGCCGGGTGGGCAGAAGGTGCCGGCATCATTCCCAAGGCCATGGTCTTTGAACTTTAGCTTCTGAGCGAAAGGGGCACAGAGACGGTTTGGCGTTGAGGGTTGCATATGTCCAGGGTTGATTGTTGGAGGTGTTGTTCAGGGTTTATAAGGCTAGAACTTCGCCCAAGTCTCCAGCTTCGTTTTGAACGTTACATGAGAATGCACAAAAAGCTTAACGCCATGATGGACAATTCCTGGGCGAGATCATAGTGAAGACGACAACAACGACATGAGATCTCGCCAAGCCAGGTTTCTACAACGATGGAATCCGGATTCAAATCACTGCTGGCGGCAGGCGAACCCAAGCAGGGATCGAAGCTCCGCCGGTGCATAACAGTAACTGCATGTGTACGTTCATGATGTGTGTGTGCCGGTGCATTGAGTGGACTGGTGGAGCGGGATGGACTGGAGTGTCAGGAACCTAATGCAGCTCACATTAATGTAGACGAGCGCGGTCCAGTGATTTGTTACAATGTAAGGTGATACAGTGCACTGCAATGTACGGCGGTGCAGCATGTTACGGCAGAGTAGTGTACGTGCGTATTAGTATGCACGTATTTCTGCATCGGTCGGATGAACTGTAGACGGTGTAGACAATCGTTTCGCATGATGCTGCAGCCTGAATGACACTGTCGTAGACATGTCCGTACCGAGAAAGCTCGGAGGCCGTGCACCTGCGCTCCGCGGAGGTGTTGCTGGTGCTGCGCAGGCGCGCCTGAGACAACGGCTGGGAGTGGGTGTCCTCAGTAGCTCAGTTTGTTGGTGGACGATGGCTGGGTCTCCTGGTGTATCATATATTGTGTGGAGCCAGCAGACGCCGGCGCAACTGCGAGTACAGGATGCAAATAGCAATAGCGTGGCTGTTTGGAGGTATCCTGATTCCTGATCCTGACCTGATGTTAGGCTTCAGTCTTCTGGCACATGTTCAGGGCCGCATCTTAGTGTCGGTTCAGAATGCAAATGGGTCAAGAACCCATAATGTCTTGTTTCACTCTGTTAAACGTTTGGAAACTGACCAGTTATCCTGCTCAGAACGGACTCGAAGAGTAAACTCTTGCACTCCCAGAAACCGCAATCGTATGAAAGCACTGCATCATGAGAGCATTGCCTCGCACGACACTCGATAAAAAAGCCATGTGAGGCATGACCTCAAATAGATGTGGTGCAACCGTCTGCACTTCGTGCTCACATGTGTCTTCGAGAGACCAACAAGATACTTGGCACACGCCCGAAACATTCGTAAACCATACCTCGTAGACAAGACATCCCCAGGCGCTGCAAAACATCAGTCCGCAGGGCAGTCTCGGTGGCTTGCCTTTGCCATGGGCTATATGCAGCTGTAAGGAACGGTACTCGCTTTTGTCCTGGCAAAACAAATTTAGACTGTCAGGATATCACATAAATCATACCTTCTTCTAACAACCTATGGCAAGCACGTGATATCCGTGTTTTCGGATCGCATGTCAATCTCCAGCGATCTTAGACAAGAAAGACTTCCTGGCGGATGTGTCGCCGTTTGCCCCTACCTAAAGGCTTACAGATAGCAGGGGTGCGGATGGCTATCACCAAAAGACATACACAGTCCAATATCCAATGCTGCCCTTCAAGTCTCCGAAGCTCCAGCCTTCACCAGCTTGCTGCTTTTGCAATTTGGTTCGGTGCCCCTAAGCTTGGCCTGCCTGAACTTCAAGTTCTTGGGATGCCACAGTTTCGCCTGTGTTCGGCAATCTTACCTTGTGAAATCAAGCTTGCTCGGAAGTAGTAGTGGGAAAAGCAACAGGCGCTGAGCGCGGCAATGGCCACTTTGTTTCTCATTGATTGTGAGATTCAGTAGCAAGGAGGTGGGAGGTCGAAGCGGGAATCGGGTCGGAGAATCAGATCGAAGCGCGATGAACTGGAATCGGGGAATGGCAGCGGCAACACGCGGTAGAGACTATACAGTTCGTCAGGCGACTGCTGCACAGAAGCAGCAGCTGCAATGCCAGCATGCCGGTCTGCCACATTGGACAACATGTGCTGTTCTGTCCCGTTCAAAGCTGGTATCTGAACTATGGGACCAGCCTGCAACGTGAGTCGGTATCCAAAACCGCACTCTCGGCATGGATACATCTTTATCTCGGGCAGTGGATACAGCTCAGCTCAGTCTAGGATGATAAAGCTTTGACCCGTCCGCTGGGACAGTCTCATATCGAAAAGGTATCCAACTACGACCAAAGCTCCATAAAAGCTTTTACGGCTTTTGTTCCAAAGCCCGGACTTTGAAGAGGCCCTGCTTGTCTTTCACCGAACTCCTAAACCCTAAAGGACCCTAATGCAGTGGACTAAACCTCATGGTACATTAAAAAAGGGCCCTGAACCCTCAAGGATCCTAAACCCTAAAGGACCCTGAAAACCATCCCATCACTCAGGTGAGCTGCGGGCCCTGCTCCGCGTCTTCATCCTCCGAGGCCTGAGCAGCTCATACAGTCTATCGTAGTCTGCCATAGTTCAATATTATAATAGTAATAAGAATAACAATAACAATAATAAATAATTATATTCTCATAATAGTAATATTATAGTCTATCTTAATCTATTGTAGTATATTAGAATTATAGACCCCCGAACCCAGGGACCTGCATCCTCTTGAGGGTTACTATGAGGGGTAGTATGTAAACCCCGAAGCCCCAATGCAGCTTTTTTCTAAGGGCTACGTAGACCCTAAATCCCCCAGTGAAGGGGCTGAGCTATCAGTACAAGAACCCAGTGCCCACATCCTGCAGGTCGAGGTTGCTTATAACCAATACTCTTCACACGTCGGAATCCCTGTAAAGCATAGTCACACAAAACTAGATTCTAGTTCTAATTCTACATGAATGACCCCATGTTGGCAGTTTCGGGCCCAGCTTCTGAAGACACCCCACTTGCTCGAGGCCTCCTGGAATACCGGGATGACGAACTGGTGCCCACAGTTGTGCTACTCAAGGATCTGGACACCCTGCGGCAGGCGCTTTGATAATCCTACATATACTATAGTACATCATAGTCTGTTATATTCTGTTACTGCATACTTTCGTATATTATAGTACATTATAGTATAATATAGTCCATGACGGTACATGTTGGGTAATTAAAGTCAGTCTAGTGTCTAGTGACAAGCAGACGGGAGATCCCACTGGTCGGAGACGCCTGAAGCTCGCTTGGGAAGGAAGAATAAGAGTGCAGATTAAGGAAAACTGTACTTCAGTGGGTTTCTTGCATGGATGATGCACGGTGTTTGCGTTGGGTTTGGTGGTGTCGGCAAAAAACATTCGACTTGGGCCTGCCAGGCACCACCTCGCACACCTGAGAGGAAGAAGAGTCCTGGGCGAATCTATTCGCAGATTTGATGCGGCCACCAGAGGGGACCGGAGAGAAGCGAGGGGCTTTGTTTGTTCATCATATAGTCTGTTGTAGTTTGTTATATTTTGTTTACAGTTAGTCTATGACCGAATGTTATAGTCCATTCTAGTACATATACACAGAATCTTTGGTGTGAACGGCAATCCCGATCTTCTTGCCGGCTCCTTGGCTGCAAGAATTCCGAAAGGTACTCTGTAATACCGTACTGCAGTATAGCATGGAGGATTTTGGTTTTTCAGATGCTAGAACATATTACGTACGAAAGACTACAATAGACTACAATGTACTATAGTAGGTTATAAAGGCATACTATGTTTGCAAGTTAGACTCGGCTGCAAAACCACTGTCCCGATACTGTAGATAGTGGCCCAGCCTTCAGCAAATCGCCGAAGCGGTAGGAGACTGGTCATTCATGTTGAACAAGCATCTATTGTCGACAAGAGATGTCGATGGTCACTTACCCACCAACCTGTTGCCGACAGATGGTTTACTTCGTCTGTAGACTGTGACAGCAGCAAAGATAGTCGACAGTGTGATTCCGATCGGCAGCAGCGGTGCATACCACACAGCCTGGCTGTGTTCTTGCTCGAGTACCAAAGTCCCACTTCGTTAAGGTGGCTGCCTCCAAATTCGAGGGATGGAAGTAAGCATCAAGGTTGCCGCCTACTGGCGAGGCTTTTATGAAAAAGGGACAGGCGGTCTCGTAGATGCTTTCTGAAAGAGTTTCAGCAGCCACCGGGACACCGCGAGTCTGTTGTGACATTCCCAACGCTGCAACATCCTAGCTCTGCAGCTTTGTGTTTCACAGCTCCGTGGACCCACCTGGGTTGAGACGCACTTGTGTGTCTGGAATCACCGTAGTCTGCTTCGGCCCAGAGCCGATCGTAACACGACCAAATCAATCAGAGACGTTCCAGCGTTGCTTCGCGAAAGAAACCGCCCGTTGCATCCCACATCTGAAACTTCTGCTTGTGTCGGCGGGGGCAGCTACAATTACTAAGGATGTGCGCATATGGGAGTTTCCGAAAATTAGGGTGCCTTGTTTTGGGGTCCTGAAAATAAGGATCCTACCATTTAGGGTGCTAGATTAGGATCCCCTATTGTTGCAAACTCCCATATAGTATCAACCAGTTCTGGCCGTTTCGGGCTTCCACGGCAACCTGAAGGCTCCAGTAACCAAAGCCGGCCCATTGTGTTCCTCCCTACATGGGAGTTTCCAACAATAGGGGATCCTAACCTGGTACCCTAAATGGTAGGATCCCTACTATAAGGAACCCAAAATCGGGTACCCCTCATTTTTGGAAACTCCCTACACTATGGAGCTTTCAGCACCTTACGACGAAGAGTCGATTAAGGACCCAAGCTTCCGGTGCAGTGGTTCGCCCTGTCCCTGATTGCGCAGGCACGGATTCCCGGAGAGTTTCGTTTATTCTGTGAGAGTTTCTAGGGCAGACCGGGTCTGTTTCGGAGTCAGGGGCGTGTGGAGCGCAGGTTTCGGATCCTCTTCGCTGCCGTAGCGGCTTCAGACTGCACTTGGGTTTCATGTCTGGTCTTCGCAAAACTTCGCCGCGGACAGCTGGAATCCTCATTCGTTCAGCCTAAAGAGCTGGGAAGAAGATGCTTCGTTCCCAGTCCGCCGGCCTTCTGTGCCAGCTGATCTGTGGCTGGACCGTCCTTTCAGGCTCGCGCTAGGGTTCCTCAAAAGGGTTCTATCAGGGTTCCTTATACGGGCTCTCTAAGGGTTCTATAATGGGGATCTATAAAAAAGGGTTCTATACTAGCAAGGAGCCTTGTCTTCGAGTGTCACATGGAAGGTTGCAGGGTTTATGGCCTAATGGTTGGGGCGTACCATCGCAGCCTCAATACACAGGATCGGGCCTAGGGCTATATTACCGTCTCTTTAATCTCTCAGAACTTAGAAAAATTTGTTGTTTTAAACTGGTGTATACAAAATTCACGCGGATACTTCACTAACTATTGCCGCCCCTATTACAGGGCCTCCATTTAGGGCCTCGGGTTTGCAATTTGGGTCCTTAGAGCAGAGAGTCGGATCGAAGTTCGCACGGGTCAGTGGGGCGATGCGCCGGCACGAAGCATGAGGGTGACCGCAATCATTGCGGATAGCCCAGTGCAATGGAAGGGGTGGTGCACTCCAGGTCGACGTGGTCAGCGTCAAGACCGGTCGATTCGGGTCCCCAAATCACGTTGCAGATCGGATCTGTAAGCAGGGACAGGGGAAGGGTGGATACGACTGCATGCTCTTGTGCACGCAAAGAAACAAGACATCGAAAAGCAGTTCGCACTTGCACTCTGAAACTTAATATCCCAAAATGTAGTTGGACAAGCAATCAATCAGAGAGAGAACGAGATGGGGTCAGAGACACATAAACAATCATAAACACTAACACACGTCAACAATAAGAAGATGAACGACCGGCTGCAAGGTCGTTCGGCATTGGTTCATTGCTGCGTAGCGTGGTGTTTTGCTTGGACTAGGCTGAAAGTTAAGGCTAGAAAGTGTGAACCTTGAATAAATTGAGAATGTTTAGTGACTTGCTGTTGTCATGATCCACGAAGCTTCCGAAGTCCCCTTTCGTCCGGCTCTGAGTCTTCGAGGAGAGAGGGAAGCTCGGGGTCAAAGCTGGGGCAGGTCAAGCAAGGTACGAGAAGTCTCCAGCAAGTTTGGGTGAGGTGTTAAAGGAGGGATTCAAAGAGGTGCTCGCAACGGGGCATCCCATTTTGTCGGAGCCTGTGGCATGTTTCTTCGACACCAAAAAGGGCCTGCTAACCCCGCAAGCTTGATTGAACTTTCATGACGATTGATGCGGATCCGGACTTGGAGGTGCTAGTCGCATTAGTCGCCTGCACTGTTGGAATCTGCGAGGCTGTTGTTTGCTCTTCTTCTATGGCTGTGAATTGGTTTGCCACTTGCGGCCAGCTCAGCCTCCACAGCAAGCAGTGCAGAGAGGAGCATGCCTCAGCAGACATGGAGTAGAGACGACACAAGAAGCGCATCAGTCAGAGAACTTTTGGGGATGCTATGGCTGCCAGGTTTTACTACAGCAGCACCGTTGTGGCAGGGAGCTCAGCTCGGCCACAGGCTGCAGGATGAACTTCACGAATACGACACTGCCAGCTCAGGATCAGATCTCAAATATCAGATTATGGTACTTTTTGTTCTTGTAGTCTCTACTGTAGTTTTAGTCACACATAAGCACCCTTGGACCCCCGGATCATCGAAACCTGTGAACCTGTGTCACGTAAAGCTGCAGCCGCCCATACGTGGCTGCCTTTAAAAGAGCACCAGCCTGAAGCTTGAAACCTCGCCTGAGGAAAACAGCACGACTACACTGCCGACCCTGAGCATGGGAGCACTGGTAATCTGGTTTGTGCAACACTCAGCTGAGACTGCCATGGGTCGACTTGTGAGCAGGTTCGAAGCCTGAAGAATTGCAAGATTACGTAGGTAGCCCATGCAGCAATTACTCTGGACTTCGTGCTCGCGGGGGATTCGGGGTGATATAGGAGCATACACTGTTGTAAGTATGACGTAGAACTGATACCAGCATGTTTCACCTTGGTGACATTCTCTGCGCCTGACAGCCACGGTGGGCTTGCAGACAGACAAATATGTGCAGCATGGTCTTCGCTAGCCTTGCAAGCTGGCCTGCAGCAGTCAAACAAAGCAATACAGTCAGGAAATTACACGTTCCTCATACCATTTCTGATAGTTTCACGTAATGCTGATCGCAATGTTGCGACATAGAACGGTTAGCTGTCTCCTCCACAGTAGTTACAAGCACAGCGAGGTGCTCAGTGGGTCTGGGACTTCCTACGGCTACATGGATCTCGGCAGGACCCGGGGCCTTCAGCATCCAAGGGCTGCATCGTTTGATAAAATCTCGGCTTCCGGGTCAGCCGCTGTTTTCTTTCCGAGTTCCTCCTCGGTCTGAGTTTCTCTTGAGTCCCATCTGTCACGTCAGCAGCTGCTTTCGCCAGATTCCAGAAATCGCATAAACGATTGCGAAATCCTACACTGTGGCTCTTGGCGCTGCATAAGTGCCAGATGGGGCGGCCTTTTCTGGGTCTGCGCATCTGGAGTAGTCGGCGGCAGCCTTAGCATGTGGGGCTCCCCATGTCAATGCATTGCTCAATGCTTCTCAGCTCTGGCCTTCAGACGTTTCCCTTGGTATAAAACACCATGCGCTGTTCATGTGGTACAAGCAGCACACCGTGGCTCAAAACCGGGCACAGGCATGGTCTTCGGTAAGTTCTTCCTGGACTTCCTGAAGGCTGGAGCTTCGGCCAGCGTCATTTCTCTTGTCACGTCTTCCTGACAGATATGCCCAGACCCATGCCACTGTGTTTGAGGTCCAGCCGCTGGGTGAGAGCCGTCCTTTGACTGCCCAAGCTTCACAGAGTCTTCGCTTCAATGGCTTAGCACGGCACTTCCAGACGAACACATTTTAATATCACAGGCAGGTCAAGGATGAAGATGTCGCTGACATTGCGTTCGAGCTTGCCGTGGTTTGTTTCGGCTCAATTTGTACATGTGCCGGGGTTCGAAGTCAAAACAGTTCAGAGAGCAGTACTGCATCCGATCTTGAACCTAAAATTCCAGAAGCCCGCTTCTAGATCTGAGAAAGCAGCTGCTCGGTGCCTGAAATAACCTTTGCTTTTTCTGCAACCAAGGAAGGCGGCTGCAGCAGGACGCTGTTCGAAGCACGTTTCGACAAGTCTGTGTTGCCAAATTTCTGACTTCGATGGAACTTGGGGAAGGCAACTGTTGCTGGCAAGGGACGGTTTGGGAACCCCGAGACTATCAGGTACTTCCAGCGATGTCGGGGCAGTCGGTCCGTCGCAGGTTGAGTGGTTAAGGTCTCTACGGCTTTGCTGCTCGAGGATGTAGGGCTTTGGGCGACTTCTCCGAAACCTGCGAACATGTAGCCTCTTGTCCCTGGGCATAGGGTGGAGCCCCGCTGCCGCC